CGTGAAGATCAATAATGAAAAGATAGATAGAATATTACAATTTTTATATAATATTTTTATTAATTTTTTTTTTTGAAATTCCTGAAAAATATTTGTTTCTAAATAATTAAGTGTAATAGCAGAAGATAGTGGAATATTATTATTAATTTCAATCAAGCGATAGTTTTTGTTGAATTGAATATTATATGATTATACATATACATATATATAATAACATTATAAATATATATACAAAGATAATATAAAAATTGTATTAATATTTAAGATGAATGAAAAATTAATTAGAACAATACATATATGTATTGTTCTAAAACAAATAATTGTATAAAACAAATTGTATAAAACAATATTTGTAAAATAAATATTTGTATAAAAAAAGATTTGTATTTGTTTAAAAAATTTTAAAAATAATTATATTAATTATATTATATTATATTAATTATATATGTAATAAAAATCAATTTATTAAATAAATAATTATTTTTAAAATACGTTATTTAACGAATAAGCTATTTTCATAATATATATTTTAATCATCTTTTTTACACTTTTTTTTAGACACTTAAACAATTACAAATTGGGCTACGTGCTGCATTATCAGTTTGCAGGGTAGACAGTGGCATTGATGAACGTGAGTTACAAATAATGAAATGAGATACAAATTATAATATTTCTGATTAATTTTTTTATTCTAATTTCAGAAAAAGAAAATGATTTTCGTGACGGCATCGTTGATGTAGAAGATGAGAAAGTTCAACTATATTCTAAATGTTTATTGAAAAAATTCAACGCAGTTAGTATAAATAATAAAATTTTTTAAATATAAATAGAATTTGACATATGTATAAAATAAAAAAAAATTATTATTTTTTGGCAATAGAATGATGATGATGAAAACTTAAACGACGTTGTGGTCAGAGAATTAGCAGGATTATATTTAGATGAAAATGAAATTAATAAATTAATCGCCGAATGTTTGGCTATCTGTAAGTAAAAAATTATTAATGAAAAAATACAATTCTTTATATATTATATATTTTAATTATTACATAAAACTTTGAATAAATTATTTAATATTGTTTTTTACATTAAATTTATCATTTTAGCTGATGCCAACGTAAACATAAAATCTAGTAAGTTAATACAATGTTTTTCAAAATATAAAATATTGAAAGAAATGATAAATGCCTAAATATTCAATTATCAAAAAGAAAAAGATTTATTCATACACAACT